CCACTGGGAATGTGTTAAGCTGATAGGGAACAGCCAGCATGGATTTGTGAAGAACAACTCGCGTCAAACCAATCTGATAGCTTTCTTTGATAGGATAATGAGTCTTGGGGATCAGGGAGAAGCTGTGGATGTGGTATACCTAGACTTTAGTAAGGCATTTGATACGGTCTCGCATGATATTCTTATCGATAAACGAGGCAGATACAATTTAGATGGGGCTACTATAAGGTGGGTGCATAACTGGCTGGATAACTGTACTCAGAGAGTTGTTATTAATGGTTCCCAATCCTGCTGGAAAGGCATAACGAGTGGGGTTCTGCAGGGGTCTGTTTTGGGACCGGGTCTGTTCAATATCTTCATTAACGACTTAGATATTGATATAGAAAGTACGCTTATTAAGTTTGCGGATGATACCAAACTGGGAGGGATTGCAACTGCTTTGGAGGACAGGGTCATAATTCAAAATGATCTGGACAAATTGGAGAAATGGTTTGAGTTAAACAGGATGAAGTTTAACAAAGACAAATGCAAAGTGCTCCCCTTAGGAAGAAAAAATCAGTTTCACACATACAGAACGGGAAGAGACTGTCTAGGAAGGAGTACGGCAGAAAGGGATCTAGGGGTTATAGTGGACCACAAGCTAAATATGAGTCAACAGTGTGATGCTGTTGCAAAAAAAGCTAACACGATTCTGGGATGTATTAACAGGTGTGTTGTGAGCAAGAGACGAGAAGTCATTCTTCCGCTCTACTGTGCTCTGGTTAGGCCTCAGCTGGAGTATTGTGTCCAGTTCTGGGCACCGCATTTCAAGAAAGATGTGGAGAAATTGGAAAGGGTCCAGAGAAGAGCAACAAGAATGATTAAAAGTCTTGAGAACATGACCTAAGAAGGAAGGCTGAAAGAACTGGGTTTGTTTACTTTGGAAAAGAGAAGACTGAGAGGGGACATGATAGCAGTTTTCAGGTATCTAAAAGGGTGGCATAAGGAGGAGGGAGAAAACTTGTTCACCTTAGCCTCTAAGGATAGAACAAGAAGCAATGGGCTTAAAACTGCAACAAGGGAGATCTAGGTTAGACATTAGGAAAAAGTTTCTAACTGTCAGGGTGGTTAAACACTGGAATAAATTGCCTAGGGAGGTTGTGGAATCTCCATCTCTGGAGATATTTAAGAGTAGGTTAGATAAATGTCTATCAGGGATGGTCTAGACAGTATTTGGTCCTGCCATGCGGACAGGGGACTGGACTCGATGACCTCTCGAGGTCCCTTCCAGTCCTAGAATCTATGAATCTATGAAAACGTCCCATGGGGGAAGCCACCCCGCACCGAAGGCAGAGTGGGGCTTTGTTGTTGATTCCTCTGGCAGCACGCATTCACCCAGCCTGCACTGGAGGTATCAAGGCTTCCTGCTGCCGCTAAAGTCCCTGCAAAGCTCCCAGAAACCTAGTGGGAGCAGGCATGGGCCCCACACTACAGGGGGCGGTGGGCAGGGTTGGACTCGGGACAGGCACTGGGCTGGACATCAGCACTAGAGCCCAGGGCCCCTTACCCAGAGCTCTCCCCAGGTCTGAATGCACCAGGTGCCTCCTACCGCTGGCTGGGCTCCACAGTTGGACGAGCTCAGCCGAGACAGCTGCTACCTGCAGCCCCTGCACTCAGCCAGGGCATTGTGACCTCAGCCAGCCAGGGTGGGACAGCGGGGGCTGGGAGTGCAGCTGTGCTGGGGAGATAACCAGCAGGGCCTGGCACTTGAGCCCCAGAGAGCGGGGCAGCAGCAGAACTAGGAACCCTTTGTCCCTCTGGGTTTTC